TTTCCGCCCCGCCGTCCTCGAGACTAAACCCTCTTCCCGCCAACTCCCTTGTGATAACTCCTTCCTACCGAAAGTGTTGAACTCGCTTGTCAGCCGTTGAGATTCAAGATCCAGCATTTGCGATCCAGTAGGATTTTTCGATATGTGGCATAAGTGATATGCCTTCCGTGTTTCTTAAACTGGGGGTCCAGAGGTCCCCAGCATCACCCTCTGCTTGGCCTGGGTGGTTTGTGAAAAAGGAGGGTTTTAAGGACTGCTCTTGAACCAGGCCCCCCAGGCTCAGTCTTGGCCATTTACGTTAGACAGGGTTCTTCTGTGTACTAACAGACCACTCAATGAGAAGGACAGCTGCCTCCAGAGGACAGAGGGCATGTCTTTTCTGACTCACTGGTCAGAAGGGAAGACCAATAGAGGTCCTTTCCCTAGAAATCATAGCTGTGACAATAAAGAGGTAAATTAACGTTCCCAGATTGGGGATTCGAATGCAGTGTGGGTCATCTTCCCAGTGGGAACGACGGTGTGTCTTTAAGAACTGCGGGCTCTGATCTGCTTTTATCTCACCAGTGACAGAATCTGCCTGGGCTGCATGCTTTGTGTTCCATAACTTGGGTATGGTCTGAACATTCACTGAATTTCAGTTGTCTTTGACTTTTCATCACCTACCATCCGCATAATTTTGTGATCTCCTATGCTGAAAAAAACCCTGGTGTCTGGGGTATCTATATAAAGTGTAGAAGAATTGATTTGGGGCTGTGGTTTTTTTCATGCCCTGACTTTGGTTGAAGCAATGAATACCTGTAGCTTTGAAGGACATCTGCGAGGTGATTTTCTGGTACTGAGCCAGATAGTTTCCACCCTGTTATCAAACAGGTCTACTTTCCTGCAGTGCTTTGGGGGAGGGGTGCAGACCTTAGGACTCAAGGATTGTAATTAAGCTCTCCATTTTATAAGTAAAATGATTAATTTATGAAAACGGTAATAATTCTAGTCTAAAGGGTTTTTTTTTTTCTTTCAGACTTTCTGTTTTAATCTGAAGAGTTATCTTTGAAAACCATCCGCATAATTTTGTGATCTCCTATGCTGAAAAAAACCCTGGTGTCTGGGGTATCTATATAAAGTGTAGAAGAATTGATTTGGGGCTGTGGTTTTTTTCATGCCCTGACTTTGGTTGAAGCAATGAATACCTGTAGCTTTGAAGGACATCTGCGAGGTGATTTTCTGGTACTGAGCCAGATAGTTTCCACCCTGTTATCAAACAGGTCTACTTTCCTGCAGTGCTTTGGGGGAGGGGTGCAGACCTTAGGACTCAAGGATTGTAATTAAGCTCTCCATTTTATAAGTAAAATGATTAATTTATGAAAACGGTAATAATTCTAGTCTAAAGGGTTTTTTTTTTCTTTCAGACTTTCTGTTTTAATCTGAAGAGTTATCTTTGAAAAAAAGGATGCAGTTCAGTGCTTTCTTTTATAGTCTCTTGGGAGAATGACTAATGTTATTATTTGATAGAACCTAACAGGAGCAAAAGGCTTACCATTGCCTTCAAGTGGATTAGATGTCAAGCAAATTACATATTTTTTAAAAACTATGTTTTGCAAAGCGTGCTAATATTAAGGGGCCAAAAAAGAGAAAAGGCCAAGAAAAGAAGATGATTGACGGGAACATCTGATCTTATTTGACCAAAGCTGACAAAATATTGATGCTGTTGTTCAATGTGGAAAAGTAAAATGAACTAAAATATCCCGGTTGAAATTTCTAAAGTATAAACGCTCTTTGTGAATTGTTTATTGAGAGCTGACATTACCAGATCTTTAGTAATTCTGGAAGAATTTGCTAAAGGGTAAAAAGAATATTATTGTTAAATACTTGGTTAAGTAGGTGGTTTGACTTTTAACCACCATAACAAAGAGGTAGAGACTTCTAGATTCCTAAAGGATCATTTTAAAACCAAAAAGCGAAATCGATACAATAGTTTGCCCATTTAATATTTTTATGGGCCAAATCATATTTAAACAATTTTCTTTTCAGTTGAAAGGAATCTAAGGTGGTAACGATCACCTATGAAGTAGGTTAATAAAAAGGTGGGAAGTGGAGACGTGTTTAGGATCGACGTTGAGAGACAACCTTGATCTTTGTTGTTGAGTTGCAGTATGTTAACATCGCTTACAACTGAAGTTTCTTGTTAAGTGAAGGCTCAGTTTTTCTTCCTTTCAAAACAGAGTATTTGTAGTAGAGCCTGTCTTTGTGGACAACAGGTATCTGAGGTTGGTGAATGTAAAGGCTACAGCTGATGATGCCAAACCACAATGACATGCTGTAGAATATGATAATGTACCTCTTACAGTAAAAATAAATCAAATGAAAGCACAAGTGGTTGATGGTAAAATGCGTAATAGTTTTCAGAACAACTCACAGATGGATGGCTATCTAGGAAAACAAAGGGATCTGGCAAAAAAGTGTATATGTAGGAAATGCAATCATATGTGGACACTGGAATAGAAGTGGTATTATTTGAGGGTTATAAATGATTTCAAATGTGCATTATTAATCTAATTTTTTATTTGGGGCACTTGGCATACAGACAGATTTTCCTTCAAATTTGCACCACTCGGGGGTGCATCTCTAATAACACCATATGTTGCCTCTCACAGCGTAAAGTAGTCTTAATAACGATGGCAAAGTTTCAGGAGAGAGCTAGCTTGTTTTCTCCATGTGATAATGATCTGCAGTGTTCCCAAGGCATTCTGTGTTTCATAACACGGAGAAAGCAGGTCCTTGCAACGGTCAGTCTCAGAAGCCTACAATTCAATAAAGACCGAAGAAATAACTGGGTCTAGAGTGGAGTGCAGCATTATTTCTATGTGAGTAAGGCATTTGTGGCATCCAGAGAAAGGCGGGATAGAGGGAGAAGCAAGGGAGCAGCAAGTGGTTCCAGACAGTGCCTAGGACATTGCTGCTCAGCGTGCCTCACAGACCAGCAGCATGCGCATCACCTGGGAACTTCTGAGGGATGCAGAATCTCAGGGCCCGCACCCCAGAGCTACTGAGTCACACTGGGGTTTGTGTACGCATTCCAGTCAGAGATGCTGGCTGCTGTACTTGACTTCGGGGGCCATCTTTTAGAAAGAATCACAACCCAAGCTAGATTCTGCAGTGTTCCTTTCCAGTAGCCTCCTGGGTCGATACAGTTATCTAGAATACTGAAGATTTCCCAGATGTCCACCAGAGTGAGCTGACCTAGGAAGAAAGAGAGTGGATTGAAGGAGAGAGAGGAGGCCAATCGCTCGAAGCCCAGTCTTCTCAAGAATGTTTTTCATGGTAGTTGTTGGGTTTGTGTTGGCATCACCAGTCCCATTATAGCCAGATAGCTTCTCTACTTCAGTTAAAGGCAAGGGAGTTTGCTCTTTTAACAGCTCTGTTCGTTGTTTTATCCCCTCATAGTACAGTTTAAATTCTGCAGATGCATTTAGTGACCCTGTGAAAAAGGGACTGTTGCAGGCAAAGGATTGAGGGTCAAGGTGATGGTGAATATCCTTCCAACTGAGAAATATGATGACATTTAGCTTTGTGTCTTAGGAGACAGTGAGCTGTGGACCATTAGAAGATGAGATGGTTCAGACCAGAGGTCATCGGTGATGATGACTGTATTCTGTTGATAGGATGATGGTCCAAATGTGTCTTTTTTTTCATTTTCCAGTGTTGGTGGTTTAAGAATGTAGGAACTGGGACCAGCAGATGGCATAATGGTTATGTTGCTAGACTTCTACATGGCCGACCACAGTACGAGTCCTGGGCCCAGTGGCTTCAAACTCATGCTGGGCACCTGTACCTGCATGCCCAAAATTCTGAGAGGAGAACAAAAGAGAAGGGATTGCAGCATGGCCATCCCCCCTAGGGGGGGAGATTTCTAACATCTTCTCTCTGTTTCTCTCCCACCAGTACAGCGCCCTATAGCAAAAATGTCTCTTACAAAGAAAAAGAATGTAGGACCTTATTTTTCCCTATTGAGTAGAGGTCTGCTTCCTTTTTCTTAGCTAGTCAGTAGGCAGTTTCTTTTTTTCTGAATGCTCTCCACATCCAGCGAAACATTTGATTAACTGGAAAGCAAAAACATTCTCATGCCAGGGTCCAAATTACGTGAAAGAGCATCATTTTTCTAGCGGCTGAGTATCAGCTGCTTATGGCCAATTTTGGCAGCAAAATAAGATTAAAAATAGCCTGAAGATGCTCTAGTCTTAAATAATATATTTAATGATGAACTTTCCTTGGGAAAGTGCATCTTTCTGCCTGCAAAGAATCACATGACCCCTTTCAATAATTTATTTTGTAAAAAAAGGGAAAAATACATTATTGCTCATGGACTTTTCAGTCATGTGGTGTTGACTGATTGTTTCTGGACCTTCATAAAATTTTATAGTTCACTCTGTTCTCCGTTTTAGGGCCTTCGTTGTTATTTAATGTCCCTTGAAAACATAGCTTGCTTTTGTGCATCCTGTTACTGTTGGTTGTGCTTTCTGGTGAGAACCAAGTGCTCGTTAGGGATCCTGGATTGAACTGGTAAATTTTGGATTGTTTAAATGTTGCTAAGCTAGATGGGATACCAGGTAACAGAAAATAATAGATTTGAAAAAAAACAAACAAACAAGCCATAGTCTTACAGTTTTTCCTTATCTCTGCTCCCAGTCCCGGTCCACGTTTTGGAAGGATGAAACACCCACCTATATAGCAAGCATGGGAAGCTTTGTGTGTTCAGAGTGGTGGCTCCTTCTCAGCACACCTGTCCACCCACTGATTTCTTACCTTTCTTTCTTTCCCTTTTTGTTTTTTTTTAGTTTCTTTCCATTGAGAGAGAGAAA